GCGATCGTGTCAGTAGATGCAGTGACCGCTCGTGCAGCAATGCCATTACAGCATCAGGCTGTAAAAGTGTGCCAATCCTCTGAAACTGCTTGTGGAAATACATTGCTTGAAAAAATGAAGTTCCCAGACTCCTCCGCACATCCTTTTCAGCACAAACTGCAAGATAGGTGGACAACATTAAACCTGGTAAGGGGATGGGTCTCTACTTTGTGCAAAGGCAATTCTATGCTTTTTTTTGCCATTTCGTTTCTTTCTCTAATCATATACTTGGGAAGGACTTGCACATGGCAAAGACACAATATATTGTGCTGCACTGACAAGCATAATAGCAGTTATTACAGCTGGACATTGTGAGAGCATTGTAAGCACTTTCCATGTGGATTCCACACTGGCAAAAGATTGCAGCGACCAAACACAGCAACCAAGACGCAGCGCAGTCGGCCAAGCTCCCGCTGAGGGCAGTCACTCAGCCTCGGCGCTCCGCGGGCGTCACAAGCGTTTCTTAGCCGGTCGTATTTTAACCTGGTACAACACGGGTCAGTCACCTGGAGGACGTTGTCTTCGAAGGGGCTATCTGGGGCGTGAACTCTCAGGGTGTGGATGAGGCAGAACGACGCGCGCGCTTCCACTTCCTGCGTTCGCAATTCCAGCCTCAGGCGAAAGGAGGCAATCCTCGCTTCCCGGTCAGCTCCTAAAAATTCTGCGCAATGAATTGTGAGCATTTTTGGGAAGTTTTGACCGGACCTCCGCAGAACAAGGAGCCGCCCCCTTGGGCAGGATCCCGGGGCTATCTCACGCCGTCGCGCCCCGGCCAGCCATGCGTGTCTCCCTGCATTCGGCTCTCCGCTTGCACAGCGCCGAACGTTCCAACGAACCACAACACAGCCCCCGCCGCTGACTGGCGCATTCGAGGCCCAAAACGACCCCATTGTCGACAACGCAGCCAGTTCCGCATGCCGGGCACCCACCCGGTCCGAGTGTTGGAGCACGGCGCTCCTGGTGAGGCCCTTGGCGCACTCCGCCAGCGGCGACTCCAGGCCGTCCGTGCTCTGCGGCAGCCGCTCCAGCACCTCCCCCAGCGCCTGCCGGGGGCAACACACAGGCGCGCGCGCGTCGTTCAGGCGGCCAATCGCCCCCTTTCCACCCAACCACCCCCCACCCGTCCGGGAAGAGCGTTTCTGGTGTCGGGGCCCAATGAGGCGGTGGCCCGCAAGGAAACGACGCAAAACGCGCTCCGTCGTTGACTCTCCAGGTGGCGCGATCAACAAAAACAGCGGACAGATGCGAAAGCACCCACTCAAGCCCATCAATACGGCTTCGCGCACCCCCCGCAGCGCAGGCCGTTTCTTGATCCCCCCCCGCGGGACCCTTTGAAAACTACCATGCCACAGCAAGGGAACGCACGACAAAAATGCTCAGACGGGGACTGAACATCCCTTTGCGCGTCGCCCTTTCCATCCTGTATCCGATTCCCACCTTCAGAAGCTTCACCAGCCGCCCTCTGGGCATCTGGCCGGCGGGCAGCTGACTTCCCAGCTTGGTCAGCTGGCGCCCGTCCTCTGGTCCGGGGTCGGCCATGACGGCCGATCGCCGGTCGCGGCGCGCCGCGCTGATCAAGTGCAGCGCCTCCTTGGCCCTCGCTGCCTGGAGGGGCGCCTGGGCCTCAGCGCGCCTCGCCACGGCGGGGGCGGGCGCCGGCGCACTTTGAGCAGGGGACCTGTCCTCTGAGGTGCTGTGGCGGTTTCTGGCATCGCACGGCGCCACCGTCATTCCAGAAACTGCGGCATCAGCGACGCATTCATTCAAAACGCCATCGCCCACGACCCATCACTTTTCCAGGTGCATTCTTTCCTTTTTCGCGGTGGAGAGCGGGACCATCGGTGATTTAAATGCACTTGTTTGGAATCAAAGAACAAAAACGGCTGAATGTGAAGCGAAATTGGAACGCGATCGGTGCCTGTCCCGCATGTGTTTTTGGGACCCTAGCATGTCAGCGCTGTGATGCAGCGGGGCGGCCTCGGCAGTGCCCCCGCCGTGCTGCCCTGCATGTAATGGCGCAGGGACGGGAAACCTTGACTGTGGACATGTGGGCTGACGGCAGTCACCCACAGCGGCATTTCCACCTCATTTCGGCCCGCTAATGCCTCTGTGTTTCACAGGACACTGGCTGCGTTTGGCCCGTTCAACCTGACACCGCAGCACATCCTGCCCTGCTTCCATTTGCCAGCGCTGTTCATCACGCTGCGTTCATGTTCTGTCCCAAATACGAACAGACGTATGCGCATACATCCAACTTTCCGCTTAACCTCTTGAAAGACGTCTATGGGCGGTGTGTGCCCAGCGCTGTTATCGATCTTCCCTACAGACCTGCAGAACTGATTTTGCTGTGCATCAATGCACGGCAACGTCAGTGTTGTTGGTTAACAGCCAACAAACCTGATGTATCAATCAAGTAGACGCAGAGTTATTGTCCAGGGGCATAGGACGAGAGGCGACTCGCAATGGCCTTATTTATAAGAACACATCTCCTTTCATGCGAAAACTGGAGGGCGAGTGTCGTCGAATTGCACACGTGGCAGGCAGGGAAGGTGCGGAGCATGAGCTCTGTCGGTAGAGTGTTTGACTGCTGTGTGATTGGTTCAGCATCATCGGTAATGAACTTTTGAACATGGCTTCGTCTTCATGTTTGCAGCAGAAGTGCACGTGTTAACGCCCCATGCCATCCTGGCTGGGCGTGTGGGGCCAGCTGAGGCTATTTAACCAGTCAAGATATAGAGTTCCGCTTCTGTGCTGCTCCGTGGCAATGAGGCAGTGTCCACCCATGAATATGCATGGCCGTGCTCCCACGCAAAGTTCATGCTGAAACACTGCGATGCTGTTGGATGATCAAGCTGGCGTAGCAAAGGGCTGCCAGAGCTCCGCGACTCCAAGGGCTGCAGTTCTTCGATCGAAGAGCCTGCTCCCCAAATGCCCAAGTCACTGCACAGGCAAGTGTTGCCTGGGGCTTTGGCAATGCGCTGGGCTTGTCAGGGAGTATTCCGACCCACCATCCACCCCACAAAGTATGAACTATTGTCCACCACACAAGAATATTCTCTTTTCTCTTCGCCGTTGCCAGTGCCGCCGTCATTTCACACTTTTCATGATACGCACATCATAAACATTTGGTATGAGCACTGCACCGAGGCGGGGGCGCCGGCCCAGCCAGGCCTACTGCCGAGCCGTGAGTGTCGTTATCGGGGCGTTCCTCACCCGGGGCGGGACTGTCGAATTCGCACATTCGCCACGGGCTGCAGGCCACCGTCAGCTCCCGCGCGAAAGGCAACAAAAATCCCGTCATGAGTCTCGTTCAGCCAGCAGGGCACCCACGCCACCACGCGGCGACGTCCGCCTCGGCCGGTCGCCCAAAAGACGTCAGGCACGGCTCGGCTCCCACCCGCGCAGCCCCACCGGCATCCACCCCCGAACCACACGACAAGGCCTCGAAACAATCGATTCAAAGCCCTCTCTTCCAGCTCCCCTCCAATCCGCTCCCTCCCGGCCAACCAGAACTCCACATCCAGCCCCGCTCGCTTGCAATCCTCACCAAGTCACATTACTTGGTGCACTGGTTGCGTGGCTCTTAGGCCGCGCCGTCCCGCGGGCTGCGGTCAGCACTGACCCACGGCTCCCTGCCCCCTACAGCTGGGCGTCGTCTCTCCGCTTCTGCTCCGTCTTCAGCCACTCCACCATGTAGTCCAGGGGGTCCTGAGGCCGCGCCACCAGCAGGTCGCCGAGGAGGTTGTGCAGCAGGGCCTGCAGCGCGGGGGCGTGGGCGTATTTCTCCATCTGGGTGCGCGCGGGCGTGCCCGGCGCGGTGCTGAAGAGGGGCCGAGAGGGGCTGAAGGGGTTGGCCATGGCGATTGCGCTGAGGGGCAGGCAAAAAGGGCACCCGCTTGCGTCGTGGGGGAGCGGGGGCTCAAGGGGCGTAGAACCGACTTTTTGGTTGACTGACCCGTGTGCGACAAGGGACGCTGCTTTTGCTGGGTGACTGCTCGACTTGATTGTGAAGTGTTTTGATGGTGGCCGTCGAGGAAGAATCTCGAGGCAAATTCTGACCCCCAGGGACGGTGCCACACTTCAATCGCAGAATGGCTTGGTGGACTTCCAGTCACGAACTCGCTCCGGTCACGGTAGTCAGATGCACGTCACCGACCCGGTCTGAGATGAGAATACTGGACATTAACAAATCGTGGCCGCACTTTGTCGTGCAATATGACAGCCACCCCCTTGCCTTTTCCTGATCTTGCCTTGGATTGAATTGAGTATTTTCCTGATGAGGGTGATGTTGTGTCACACTGGCAGGATCGGGGACAATCAACTGTGGGCAATTAGAAGGCATTATATGGCTGATGATGGTGCTGCGATTCTTTGGGCACTACAAGACAAGTCAATTGCATCAGCCTGGTCATGAGACACACGTGTCGGACATCCGTGTGTCCTAAGTAGGATTCAGCCATGGCATGTGTCTGTGCGCCTGCGCCAGGCAACCAATGCAACAAAAGAATGGAACCAACAATAAACAAGAGGCGAACGAGACCCATGGGATCGTGGCGCCTGCGACCCCAACGCACAGATCGCCTCCAGATGACCAAGCAGACTGCTTTAGTGCGCCCACAGCCAACCTCCCTCCCCTCCCAGGAATGCGCACCCGCTCAAGCGGGTACAGGGCGGCGCTCCGCTTCCATTCCTTTTTCCCTGGAGGGACGCCCCTCGCCACAAGGACCAACGCAATGAATCCAATCCCCAGCCAAAAATGCCCTCCACATCCTCCGCGTCCACAACATCGCACACGACACGCACCGCAGCGAACGGGGGATGCTCTGTGTCTGCAGCCAGAAGGGGCGAGAAACAAAAGCCCAGCAAGACGCCTCATTGTCATGACAATGAATCCTGAGGCCCACGGACCCTGGGGCCCGGCACCCCGGCCCGGCTCCCCCCTCCGCGCCGCTCCCGCCGGCTCACTTCACGTCCACGATCTTGATGACGGAGGCGTTGCCGATCCTGTGCAGCGCCACGATGGGGTCCCCCGCCACGCAGTACTTCATCTCCTTGCCGTGCTCGATGGCCGCCGACAGGATCTCGTCGATGGTGTCCGTGTCCGTGGCGCGCGCCGAGCCCTCGGACAGCAGGGGAATCAGACCGCGGGTCACGAGGCAGTGCCGCGCGGGCGCCTCCCCGCTGCAAGACCAAGTCAGGGTGTCCGTGGTGAGCACGGGCACGGCCACGGTGAGCACCGGCATGGATGGCCGGTACTTGGCCACCAGGCGGGCGGTGGAGCCGCCCCGGGTGAGGACGACGATGAGGGAGGCGCGGACCTTGTGGGCCGTGCGGACCGCTGAGGAGGCCAGGGACTCCAGCGGAGGCATGGGCATGGGCGCCCGGCGGATGATCGACTTGAAGAGGGCGTAGTAGTCGATGGAGGCCTCGGCCTCGCGGCAGATCTTGGTCATGACCTGTGGGGAAGCAACATGGGGTCAGCGCCGCAGTTGTTGGAGGCTGGGACAGTCAGGGGGGCACTGCAGCATGCTGAGGCCTCCAATGCTCTCCCTGGGGAAATTTGCTGCAGTCATTTGGTGGCTGGTGCGCCCCTAGACCCCTCACTCGTTCAAAAAATGCAGTTACAGCAATCAAAAAGTTGCCTCTGTATATGTTAAAACATATGACCCTTTTCCTGCACGCTGAGATCCGAAGCTCAGCGTCAGGTGCAGTGTTGCAAGTCTTCAAAGGGTTTTAGACCTTACTATTTTCTGTAGCAAGACATTGAAGAATATCTCCAAGGCAGGCTGGAATGCTGTCTCAACTGTGCCACAGCCACATTGCCTTGGAGTCATTTTATCAATGCTGCAAAGATCGAGGTTCGAACAGCTCCACAGTCTAAGGGGCAATTTCCGGAATTGATCTAATCTGCTGATAGTGGAGAATTGGCAACATGTGCCCTCTCCCCTGCTTACTAGGGCCAACCCTCCTGTACAAAGTTGTTGTGGATTGCGAATTCATGGCAGGTGTCTGCATCAGGTGAAAAAAGATGAATGATTCTACCCAACGATTCGGGAAATGTCTTCCAAAACAAAGCTTTCGAAACCAAAGTGGCTCCGAACAAGGATAACAAAGTCGATGCTGGCACTCAGCCTGCAGGCCTCCTATGTGCCCTGACACTGCACAGTAGGTGGAAGGGAATCCAAAAATTGTGGAATCAGAACAGAAAGGTGAAAGGGCTTTTATTTGTCATGGCCTGAGGAATGCAATCAGCGTAGATTCACTACCCACAGATTCAGGTCCAGAGGAGTGACATCAGCACCATCGATGGTCGCACCTTGACAGCTTCAATCGGAAACAAGCCTGCCGCTGTCTCGCCTGAGAGCATCACACAATCTGTTCCGTCCAAAACGGCATTGGCCACATCGGTTGCTTCTGCTCGTGTCGGCCGAGGGTTCTTGCCCATGGACTCCAACATCTGTGTGGCCGTCACCACGGGCTTGCCCATGATGTTGCACTTTTGGATCATCATCTTCTGAGCTAGGAAAATCTTCTCAGTGGGGATTTCCATTCCCATGTCTCCCCTGGCCACCATGATTCCATCAGTCTTCTGGACGATCTCGTCAAAGTTGGAAATGCCCTCCTGGTTCTCGATCTTGGCGATGATCTTTATGTTCGACCCCCTCTCTCCCAAGCACTGCAAACAAACGACAACATCAGATAGTCTGCCGTGGACGGTCACAGCATTGCGAAGCCACACAAAAGGAATGGCACGGGCACAAAGCAAACTGCAAATTGCAATCTTCACGTAGTACTCAGCGCATTTTGGCATAATTGTTGAATACAATTGTTGGTCACGCGTTTGATGCTTGCGATGATCATTGCAAATGCACTTGCTCCGTTCATCAAGCTTCAGCTCCCCTTGCCATACTGTGTTTGCACAGCATCTCACACTCAACAGAGCGTAACCTCCACCATCCCAGAGAAATCACAGATAAAGCAACTGCGCTGCCACCAGGAAACAAAAGACTGGCACTGCTGTAGTGTCATAGAGATCGTTAGCCAAGCATGCCACTAGGGCAGCACTACAGGGCAAAGCAAACACTCATGGGGTAAACCATAGTGTGTCTTGAGAGCGCTGCTGCCTTTCAGCACTGTCAGAACTCCTGAACTGCATGTCACAGAACAGCACCACTGCCAAACACCAGATTCTGACGACCAACAAAGTATGTGCAAAACCAACCTCACGAATGACATCGATATCACTCCCTTTCCTCACAAACGAGGCTGCCACGAAGTCGATATCCCTTGCAACTCCGAAGTCCACCAAATCTATCTTGTCTTTCTCTGTCAGGGTTGGCAAGTCAACATTGACACCTGGCAAATTGCAGTTCTTGCGCTCCCTGTGATAGGAACCAGCACAAGTCAGATGCTGCTGTTGCTCCTGGGAACCAGTGAGAGCGTCAGCTTGTGGTAGTTCAGCGATCGCTGCATTTCTGTCCAATACCCATTTGTGATGTTCAGATGTCGCCTTTCAGAATTGCACTGTTCTGTGGATGCACTGCCAAAAACGTGGATGCGGTAGTCTAAGCATACATACAGACAAGGTTCGGGTACATTTACATACATTGTGATCTCTGCAGGCACAAAACCCAATAATCTGTGTTCACAATGTATTCATCGTATCAACTCGTTCATAAACATGTTCTACAGAAGGTCTAAACACAATGCTTTCTAACCTGCACACAAATGTTGCTGTGAAATGCTGACGTGACTGTCTTCAACTGCAGCACTGGCTTTCCCACATGTACTCCATTTGCTCTGCTCAGCTCATCAAGCAGTAACAGAGTCGAAAATGGTTGAACACTGCCCATAACAGTCGACACGACTCTGCTATGGGCATTCTCGACTGATTATTCTCCGCACTGCGATCGTACATTGATCACTGGTGGCCATGGGAGATGCACAATTCCACAGCTTGCTGCAAGAGTTGCAAACACAGTTCAATAAAACGCATTGTTGCATTGAATGCTACAACCCTGGGAACAAACACACCCCAACACTGCAGAGTTCTTGCACCGAGCTTGAACTGTCCCACCCTTCTCATCACAGCTGAGCACTTCCTGCATCGCAGTGACACAATGCCATGAGAAGGCCTGTGCCGAGGCTTGCCAGGCTACAAGCAGCAGACAGCGGATTGACAATGGGGCAATGCTTGCATCTGGGAGCACGCCTAGCCCTCACTCCTGGCTGTCATGCTCCAAATCAAGCCTGGGCTGCAACAACAGTGGGTCGGGGTCCTGATGGAGAGCCAATCAGCACTGCAACGCACAGGCAAGGTCTTTTGCTCTTCACACGACGATGACTGGCAAATTGTTCTCTATCATCCATCTTTGAGTCCAATTATGCAACCCATAACTTGCCTTGATAATGCTTGATGAAGAATGCGCACAGTACCAGTTAAATTCAGGTAAGCAGTGCCATAGGCTCAGCTCCCTCAACAGCAAGCCTCACATGACTGGAATCACGATCCATTGACCGGCATACTGATAGATGGCAGTGGAGTGGGACAGTTGTGTTAAGGTTATGAGCGGTTGGACACATGCAAGCAGTGGTTGGCTGTTGTTGATGGCAGATTGTATCAGAAACTCATAACACACAGCAACATGCAGACTGATCACATCGGCTTATTGATCACACACAAATAACCTGCGCGCTGCACGGCATACTTCTGCAACAGGCGACTCACCAGGACCACACTGCCATCTGCACACAGGATTTCGCTGCCGGGTTTGACATCCCTGGGAAGGTGCTTGTAGCTGCAGCAGGCCAAATTTCTCGTCAAGTCTTGGGATTTAAAGAAATTGGGGCTCAAACGCATCTCAGTCACACCAGGCAAGAGATCATTGCATTCAGGCCCTCTTGAGCAACAAGGCCACATTGGGGAAACTCTGAAGCATACAGGAGCCTGTCTGCCTTTGCCAGCAATTCACATCACCAACAGTGCAGAATTACGATCATGGAAAACTGGATAAAGCCTGGCTGGGCATTGCATTGCCCATCGCCATTCTTCGTGTGCAAGGGCATTGTTTGTCAACTGCTTTGCCACAATGCAGGATGTGGTATCATCCAGGATGGCAGCAGGCACACCTGATAGCGATTAGCTTCTCATTGCCCTTAATGGTGTAGTCTGTCGTCAATGTGACTTCCTGCCACCACACCAAAAGAACTGTTAAGGAAGAATGCAATACGAAGAACTGCAGTGTGGACCAACCACATGTCCTGGGTATGACTATGTCAACTTTCGCGTTGCCAAATATCTCAGGAGGACCTCACTTGTAGATAAGATTGACAGGCAATGGATATTCACAGGCAATGCAGTGTGACCACAGCAAGGGCAGCCACTTACAGTTCCTGCTGTCAGCTGGATCTTGCCTTTCTCCAGCATTCCTGTGCGAATCTCTGGACCCTGAAACAGCCACCAAAGTCTCACTCGCATAGAGCATGGCACAGTCACAATACACAATGTTCAGGACATGTAAGAAGGGCAACTGGTAACCAACTTACTCCTGGTTTTGACTGAACTGAACCAAGCGGAGCTGCAAAGCGATCCTTACCTTTGTGTCCAGCAAGACAGCACACATGATCTTTGTGTTGGCCATGGCCTGGCGCAAGTTTGTCAGAGTTTCCTGAGCAAGCAGCAGAACCATTCTTTTGTAAGCTGATGCGGATGAAGCACATCACGCAAATCCAAGCTTTTGCTCTTGCAGGCCATCGCGACTGTAGGATGGAAGAGATATGCTAAAGGCCCAGCACACTGGTGGCCGATTTGCCATCTGTGAACAAAATTGAGCTCTGTGGCATGCATTGGAGCAAGTGCAATAACATCAGCCATGCAGCAGAATTCGACCTGCATTCCAAAACTTCAAAAAATGATCTCAAGTTGCTCATTCAAATAGTTTGCTTTTCGTTGTTAAGCTGCGTAGCCTCCAGCTACGTGACATCGTCAATGCCACCCAAGGTCGAGCCGCCCCCTGACTGCATTTGGGCACAGACCTTACAACCTTTTCAGGCACCTGGGGGCCACCGCACAACCTGATTGACGTGGGCGAGGGTGCTTGCTGGGCACCAAGAATCAGGCGGATTCTCAGCTCACTCTCAAAATCAGCAAAGGATGGACAGTGACATCAAGCACAATAGACTGGCTTGCTTTTAGATCACGTCGCACGTATGGACGTGGCAAAGGAACCGCCAGCCCGCGCACCCCGTGGTATTTGTGATCCCCGTGAGAGAAGTTGAACCTGGCGACGCTCATTCCAGCCCTCAGGAGCTCTTCGAGCGTCTCCACCTCACGCGCCGAGGGCCCAAGCGTGCACACCACCTGCGCCGACCACCAAAGCCACCGCTTCGGCACATGGCGAAGACATCTGCCCGTGTCCGTGCGTCGATTGGGCCACAAAACGCACGCCAAAACGCAGCCGGCCAACAACGATGGTGGCCTTGGCCAGCGTCTTGCCCCCAGGCGAACAATCCCAATATGGAGGGGCAGCCCAGCCGCCACCCAACCCAACTAGGCGCGTCTTGTCGCGCCATCCCGCCAGAACCACCCATTGCCCGAAACGGTGGCAACCACCGTTCCAAATCTCAGCAGTCGGTGCCGAGGATCCGCTGGGCAACGAGGTGATCTATCGCACCCCAGCGCTTCGCGAGCACCCCGCCCGTTCCTCGGATCCATTCCCGCTCGCCGTTGCCAAGCGATGCACATCGCAATCCATCTACCGACAACGCAAGGACGCCTCCCGGACCCAACCTCCGTCCCTCCGCCCCGTCGCCAGCAATGGACACCCCCGGACTACCCTCACCCACAGGCAGGGTGGTCCCCATCTCGCGCACACACCCCCATCTCCATCAGCCCCGGCAAACACCCCACGACTCCCTCCACCTCCAGCGACAACAAAAACGCTCCGATCGATCGACGGCGCCGCGCGCGGCGAGCGCTCCGCGCGCCCACCTTGGTCTTGCACACGCCCACAGGCGCGCCGAAGAGCACGGCGTCCAGGCCGGTCTGCACCATCCTGAATTCTTCCAAACAGCCACCGGCGCTGGACTTGGCGGAGGCCGGTGTTGGCGGACAACAGCTATGGGTATAGCTTGCGCTGTGCCGAGGCTTTGGGCCAGCACGTTGGCGGCGTTGCCTGCGGCGTGGGGCTGCCTGGGGGAGGTGCGGTCAAAAAGTGCAGCGCATGGGGCAGGGCGGGGAGTTGGGTGGCCCGGGAGCGCTCGCCAGCGCCACATCAAGCGCCGCGCCTCTGGTGATTCCGCTAACGGCATCGATGCGGAGCGGTGACAGCGTCAGGTCACCGCATGGGGTGGTGACGTCAGCAAACCGTGTGCAGGGAGCTCCGTTATTGGAGGAAGGAGGGCAGAGGGCAGAGGGGTGGCCACCACAGGTGAGCAACAATCCGCCGCTTGGAAAGAGGGTTGCTCTTCTTGCAGTTTCCGACACAGGGCGGACAGTTGAGAGCCTCGACGCTACGGCACGTTGCCACGTTGGGCCTCACAATTCCTTTCAGAATCATGCTGCTTCCCAATGGCTCACGGAGCGCATGCCTTTGCAGACATTCTGCTGCTGCGCTGCTGCTGCAATTTATTTCATCGCGCTGGCAAGAAACGTTGAAGCAGTACCATCGCACTTGGAAGGCGATGGTGGGCGCCTTTCCCAAGATAGCGCCATTCCAGGTATTTGCATTGGAGTACATGCTCATTTGACACCTGCCAAAAACTCCGCTGCAGGAACAGCTGCATGTGCTCTTTGGTCGGCTCAAGGGGCTGTGCACGATCAGCGCGGGCAATGGAATAGAAACATCGCAGCGTGCCATGACACGTACACATGCCAGCATACAATACGTGCAATATTACAACATTTGCCAACACAATTTCTGGCTAGTACACGTGTGCACAACGTGCTCCCATCTCAGCAGGTGCACAAGCTGATATGGCGATAATAGGCATCCGGTAGCTTTGAACAGCGCTTTAAATAAGCAGCCAACAAAAGCTAACGCAACTCTGCAGGTGCAAGGGCAAGGTTGGAAGAAAGATCAGGCCAGGTTTGCCTGAACGTCCAGGTCCCACGTATTCACCCATCAAACCAAATCATCAACAATTTAGACATCGTGGCCCCTCATCCCCCTTGGGCAAGATGCGGCTTATTTTACTGTGCACAATGGACAACGGGCCCACGCACCCCACTACACACACACCCTGCAAAGAAAACAACTGCGTAACGAGCAGAACGAGGCCTACGAAAACACTGTTCTTGGGTCGCCTTCAAATAGGCGACTGGCATTATCTGGTCCAATTTGTGACAGATATATGTCAAAGGCAGTTCCTACTGCAATCACTTCTGACTTGTTGCCATTATCTTCTCCAGATGCTCAGCCATAGCCCTCCAAGCCTCAGCTGCGCTCTTGTTCATCTCTGCCTGTATCTGAGCGACCTTCCTGGCCATGCCTATGAGCGCCACATGTCGAGTTTCTCTACAACGTGCCAACTCTGTCTGATTGCGCTGTTTGATAACCTTGTAATCGCCTGTCAGCCGTTCCACATCGCGCTCCAGGGACCCGATTTCAAACTCCAGTTCTGCGAACCTCTTGGAGGAGGCCTCTGCCCCACCCAGTTTCTACACCACAGCCAGACCAACGTGAATATTACCTAATCACCCATTTTGACAATGCAGTTAATGACTGACTGACAAACTCAATATCGTCTTGCAAGCCAGAGGGGGACTAGTTACACAGTCCCAAACAGTATCATTTCAGGACACTCAGTATCAGTGTAGCATCTCAGTAAGGTCCACAGCAACTCAGCCCAGGACGTTACTCAACTGCCATATGGGGGATAGTTGGTGTAGACACAACAATGCCGGATTGAGCAACCGCAGGTTACTCTTGGTCCTAACGATCTGCATATTGGCAGTGTGCTTTCATTTCCATGATGTTGTTGGCATCATAGCTCTTTAGAAATGGCCAATCAGGTGTGACTGTACTTGTCCCAATCATCTGCTGCCACAGAATGTTCACACTCTGCTTGCTTGGAGACTGAAGGCAACATGACAACCACAATGAAGATTCGCAAGGATCAAAATACAAAAATGAAACGGACAGACAAATGAAATGCCAGTGGAAGGCAACGTATTCAAAACGCAGCGAAGGAAAGGCGAAAGTTGTGGATGAGAAGTCTGATGCCAAACCTTTGCGGAGTCCCGCCTGAGCTCCTCCAACCTCAACCTTTTCCTCTCCAGCACGGCCTCTGCCCGATGGACAGCATCCAGGGCATGCTCCCTGTCCTCCAGGCCCAACAAGCCTGATGGCACCAAGTTAAGTTGCTCATGGAGTGAGATCAATCTGCCAGCTGTCATGGTCACAAATCTCTGGCACACCTGGTGCACCTTCAGGCTTGCATAGCCAGCCTTCTGCAAGGTTGCTGCCCGAGTGGCATAATGGCGCCCTGTCTCTGTGAACTGGCCACACTGGGCCCCCACCTTGTCCTCGTAGCGGGCGAACGCGACAAGCGCTGCGCCCATCTCCAGATGGGCATCCAGCTCCCCCTCCAGTGCTTGCACCATGCCCCTTGCTTTCTCACAAGTGCAGCTCAGGAAGGTCTCCAGTTGTTTCAGTTTTGTGCTTTCCTGCTCAAAGCAGGTAGCCACTTCAAGGTCATACCCAGAACTCCCATGCCTTGAATCAGCAACGAATTAGGATACAAAGGGGACCCACCATCACATCAGTGTAAAACAAACAATCTGTCATACAGTGGGAATTCAGCCAAGTACCACGCGACGCTTGCGCGGTGGAATCTGTGGAGTTAGCAATTCTGCAAGAGCCCTTGACATCCAGAGGGTCGTGTTGGATCAACTAGTATCTATGCGCCACCCCATGTCACATCAAACTGTCCCAATGAACAAGATGTAACATATGAAACCAAGCAATGGCCATGGCAGACAAAGTCCAGCACCAGCAGTCAGGCTACCACAGTGTCAGCCAGGATCCTAGTGTGCTTGCTTGGCACTCAGGCATAAGCACATCAGACCATTTGAAACTCTTGCTCTGGATCGAGAAGCTGGAACCATTCTGCAATCAGAGATGTCTGCTCTGAAAGGGATTTCCATTACCCTCAAAGCCAAGACATCTTTCAGTATCACAGCTTGTTTGCATGTGACGCCATCCCAGCATCATCATGTGGCAGTGGAGCCTGACATGGCTGCCATCTTTCACCATGTTTCGCACAAGGATGCAGATAGGAATATGCACACGTTTTGCAAAGGTAGCCTCATAGGTTCACCTGTCTCAACTGTCTTTCGTCCTCAGGAATTCCGTGCTTCGATTTCATGCTTTCCTTCTTTACAGGGCTGCCCATTCTTCTCATCTTCTCAAACAGCTCTGTGGCAGTGCTCGTCGGCCCAGCATCAACCCTTGGAGATAGGCGACCTGACAAAATGGTGCAGCGAACTGAAGGAAAAGGAGTGGGAAATGAGGTGCTGTAAAGATTGCCGGATACAGTGTGAACCACAAAAGCCTCAACCACCTTGAGTCAAGCCACACCAAGCAACACATCGCCCAAAAAGGCTACTCAGTAAAATAAAGCGATCACCCCCCCTGCAAAGAGAGGAAGTCCAGTTGTTGCTCTGTTTCAGCTCACCTAGATTTCTTGCACCGGCCCGCTGTACGACTTCCTGCCACTCAGAGGAAGAGCACAAATCTTGAGGCACACCCAAAAACACTCTCAGCTCCTCTGTTTCGTACAAGAATGGATGTGCAACAAGCCCCCTGAGGAAACAGTTGAGCTCTGCCTTGCGCATCTGCACGAAGTCAGCATTGGCCATCTTGGCTTGTATGAAGTTCTTGTCAGGCAATGGAGGTATGAAATAGCCTCTGTGGTTCGCATGGAGCACTTTGTGCAGAGCCTTGACACACAACAAAAAGCTCAGATGTGAATCCTGTCAGGCACTGTTCATGCATCGTTGTGTCCACAAGTGTGTTGAGTTGTGTATCACAAGTGTCACAACGTTCACTGCAATGATATCAGGGCATCTAGATCCTGCTTTTCTGCAACCACGCAGTGGGAGGAACCCCAGATGGAACATGACTGCAAATATACCATTGTATCACACATGTGTTGTGTGTCGTGCCCAGAGTTGCTTGCTACAAGTTTTCACAAGGTCAGACATAAGAATGCTTTGTTGAAGGAGAGAATTCTAAGCTCAGAAATAACCTGACCCGCATATCCAGTTCAAACCACAACAATCAGTGACACAGGATTGCACTGCAGCACGCGCCCTTAACAGCTGAACCTGTGTGTGGCCTGGCAAATTGTGGGTCAGCCAGTTCTTACCATCTTTAAAAGCACATTCGAAATCGCAACATCTTCCTTACCTGTCTCTGTTTCTGATGCAAGTGTACAAGCCTTGAATTCTGCAAGATTCAAAAGGAATCCATCGAGGCGCCCTCACCTCGAAGTCCCTGAATCGCCGCCAGACTGACTGCTCTGTGAATGAGTAGCTCTGCAGATCGGTGGCAGTCTTGACACAGTATGTGGTGAACTGAGACTTAACCCCCAGCCTGGTCTCCTCGACTTGCCTGGCATCAGTCACCACCACATGCACGGAAGCCGATGCTGGCACATGTGCATCCAGGTTGACCTGTAGGTCGTCGTCACCAGCAGGCGTTATTTCGGAAATCACTGGAGAGGTGGGAATGGGGTCACCTGGGCAGCCCATCCACCCACATCAGACCACACAATGTGAAGAATCGATACTGATGCGATTTAGCACACAACATGACGAAAAGAGCAGAGGTGCTATTAGCCGATGGAACAGACTGGATAAAAATAGCCCTACATCGCATTTTTTGTGAATGGCCCAGACATTGGACTCGTGTGGGAACAAATTTTTCTTGATGTAAGGAATTGGACATTATGCGATGCATAGAGGGTGATACAAGCTGGCCAGCTGTATGTACCTATGCAGTACAGTGGAACACAGATTCACACTGTTGCAAAGATTTGTACTGGAAGCGTCCGTGCTGCACTTGATACTCTCCTTGAACCACCGGTTTGCACTCTATCTTTGCATGAGAATGGTGTTGGGGTTGCAGAAAGTCAAGTGCAAGATGCAGCCGTGCACATACTGTTCTGTTTGATGCATTGATGAGTCAACGGTGCGATCTGTGACTTGACCTTATGCTGCTCCACGCAGAATGCAAGGAATGTCAGTTCTGTTGAGTTCAGATGCGCCATTGCATCTCAAGGATATCTGCCTGGTCTCTTCCCACAAGAAAAGAGGCCCCCGTCCAAAGCGCATTGCATCGAGGACTTGTGCATTGGTGCCCCATTCCCTTTGTCCTTATCGATGACCCAAAGTGACACACGCCTCGACTTCTTATTGCTCTACGCATACTACCATGAACGCCATTTCGACGGCAATACAAAGAATGCACAGGCCATTTCGCAGGGCCAGCGTAGTCCAACGACGGCTTGCGCCACTTGAAAGGTTTGCATTGTTGGTGCTGAGCAGACGTGATATCAGCTTGACAGCGAGGGGTGCTTCAATGCGCGACTGGGTCTTTGCAATTGCACCAAACCAGGAATCAGGCCTACTACATGAAAGGGAAGACAGGTATCTGCGCGAAGCTGTGCCCAAAGCTCAGGCCGGAGCGCAGCTAAGCCCAAGGGCCGTTCCGTGGCGCGAATGACTCAACCGCCACACATGCGAAGCAAATGCCCAGGGTCCTCCCCGCCCCAAAGCACAACCCACAACAAGGCGCGAAGGCAAAAAGCCGTCCTTCTCCGCACCTCTCGGAGGCCCTATCATGGCGTCGGCGTACGTGAACCACGCTCCAGGCCCTTCTCCCGTCCTCGTCCTTCCGACCTCCGGCAATAGCTCGCCAGCGCCCCCCGAACTGCAGTCCGGATCGCCGCACTCTGCCTCGCCCCTCCGCGCCTCGGTGGCGCCTCCCTCGCTGCTGGGCCCCGCCAGAGGGCCGCCCTCGTTGTCGCGGCGCACCTTGGGGCCCCCCAGGGGATCATCCTGCCCCATGCAGTCCTGGGCGGGCGAGAGGCTGCTCGCGGCCGCCTTGCGCCGCTCGAGGGCGATCGGCCCGTCGGAATCCATCCCGGGCTCTTTGGCGATCTGCCTGATGGGATCGCGGCGTTCAGAGCGACGGTCGGGCGAAGATAGGAAGGGGCACTCGAGGGGGCGTGGGGAGCAGAGGACCGAGCGGCCCGCGCGCAGCATAGGGTTTGCGACTTTCTACAAGGCCAATGGGCATTGTTCAGGGATGGGAAGATTCTGAGGAAGCACCAGCCGCAAAGGGGGCCAAGCGAATGGTTACCAGCGATGCGTCAGCCTTTGCCGCCCAGCAGCACCTGTAAGGATGGACGGTTTAAGGGGAATCTCGTTCACGCGCTCGTCGCGGAGCTGCCCCTACGCCGACCTGGCAGTCGAAGCTGCGGCCGATCTGACGGCGGGCCCCGCCCGTTCGCCGTTCTAGGCTGGACGACAAAGGGGGGGGGGGCACCACTTGGCCGCAAACACGGCCGAAGACGCACATGTCGCTTCTTGAAGTGGGGGCACAAGCGGGTGAGGGGATTCCAAATTTGAGGTAAACAGGTGGTTCCTGGCAGTTTCTTTGGAATCAACGGTGGCATGCTTGTTATTTACGGCGTAAACACGGCCTATATTTTATTTACACATTTTTGTGTAAAACCACGAAAATTTTCATGAGGACAGGCTTTGTTTACGCCGTAAATAACAAGCCTCAACGGTGGCAAGTTTTGGTGCGTCATCTGCGCTCAATGGCTGGTCGATCTGTGCTGACGACATCTTTGCAAACTGGCCGGCTCTTTGTCTCAATCATAGGGGTCCGCAAGGAACGGCGCCCCTTGTCTCACTCTCCCCCACCCGCGCTGTTGGAACCTCCGCCGTCCCGACGGAAAATTTTGGTTTCATACATTGGCGTAGTACATCACAAGTTCGGGCTGAAGCAGACACGTGCCCAATGTACTGTTGCCTGTTGCGTCCCGCATTTCTCTGGGCACCAGGGAATCCCCTTAGCCCCCCGCCCAACAGCGCACGACGACATTCGGCCCGGAGAGCTCGCCTTCCCGCAGGTGTCCCTGCCCCCCCGTTGCGTCGCCAGCCGGGCAGCAGCCGCCGGCCATGAATCCCTGCCCGCGGGGAATGGTCCCCGCTGCCAGGGCCGGCATGGCACCAATTCCCCCCTTGGCGCGGTGCATCGCTCGCTCGGGGTGTGGCGGCAATTCGGCCGCGAGGCCGCCCGCGCGGGGCCCCTCACCGCTGGCAGCTGGCCGATGCGCCCTTTGGGGCGCGTCTTTGGGTGGGCCAGGAGATTTGGGGATGAGCAGGCGCGGCGTGGCGCGCAGGGCGGGCCGCGGCGGGGCGTGCTCGCCGGTGTGCAGGTTCTCGCGGCCCGGCGGGGTTGATCGGGCGGCCGCCGCGCTGCCCTACCTGCTGCCGCTGCTCGACGGCCTGAGATTCGGTGGGTTGAGCCTGGCATGGGCGGTGAGAGGGATGAACTGGGGGGGCAGGATTCGTCGGTCGACGAGTATCTGAAATGGAAGGGGGAATCGGATCGGCTGCCAGGCGAAGGTTGATCAGTGGCGGTGTGTGTATAATTGCTGCGAATATGTGGCGAGGCGCGTACAAACCCGAGGACAAGGAAGTCCATGTCGGGGATCGCCAATATCGATTTCATCACGGTTCACAGTGTGATCTGAGTGGCGCGGTGACGCAGGCGAACAGAAATTGTAGTGGAAAGGAGCTACGTCGTGCAGGACACCCCCATCCCCATCCCCAAACCCCCTGGTGGGGAAGAATTTTGTGAGACTCGTTTCACCACAGAAGATGATGTTCAAGTAACGGAGTTTGACGAAAGGAGCGTGCAGTGTAGTTTGTCGGTTTGTTGGTTCACATTGTTTGGTGACAGATTGGAGAACATACGACAGGATTGGCCTGTTCCAAACTGGTGCTGGCTTGCAGTTCAGTAAAGCCTGCAAGCAGTTCAGTAAAGCCGGCAAGTAGACGCAATTCTGTTTGCCTTTGCGGAAATTGTGTGGTCTCAGGACGGCACTGGTGTGATGGATGTCTGTGGATGGCAGGACGGTTCTTCTTCGGCCAGTTCCCCTTCTCCGCAAGGCTGCTGTCGCCCATCTTTCCTCTGTACGAGCTCTACACATCTCTGCCTTTTGGCTCGTGAGTATTTCAGGACCCACATCCTGTTCATTTGTTGACTGGCATTTGCTCACAGCACATGCTTTGGCTCACCTGCCCCCTTCTAGGGCTGCTGCTTGCTTAACACAAGACATTGTGGTGGCTCTATTCTTGACTGTGCCAGCCTACAACAACTGGAATAGTCCCACCCATATTGTTGAGCAGAACAATTAACTAACTTCGGGGGCAATCAACAACATGGAAACACCCACCAAGTGTTGGAAGACAAAAATCCACAGTATTCTTATCACAGTTCATATTGCGATGACAGTTCATATTACTATGGCAATTGGATAGAGCAGGCTCCCAGAACATGGCATGGAGACCAGGGGCCAAATCACCTGATGTACACTGGTGAGAACACAGTTTGGTCTTGTACAGTCCCAGATTAACACTTGACCGCAGCCAAAGCCCACACCTGAAGTGAACAATACAATCTATTCTGATGTCAACTTGGTGGGTGCATCTCGAATATGGGTATGTGCAGCATGAATTGGCTTTTGGTATCTTTAGCTGGTGCAGCCTGGTTGAAGAATCAATTCTTGGTAGGTAGAAAGTAAAAATGTAAAAATTCTTGGTAGAAAATAAAAATGCAACTTGTCATGGAATGTGCAAGAATTACTGCACGACTGGTTTGCACACGTTGAAGATGATGAAAATGTGACCAAGTACAAATTCGTTTGCAACTATAATTAATTCCTTGCAGAGCAGATTCAGTTGCATCAAATGCATGGCAAAGTGGTGTGTTCTGAGCTCTGGCTTTCGTCTTATTGCCATGCCAATATGGTTCTCTGAACACAAGTTGCTGTTACGCACAGCAGCCAATTCGGCACCCATGCATGTCCCTAATAGATGACTGAATTCCACATGTTTGCTCTCCTGTTCGGCATTGACCTGAAGCTGGGATGTCTACTGCCACAGGATTGTTATCTTTTTTGCAATATACTTTGGGATCATCCAAAATGTCCAGGTCAACCGCTTCATACGCTTCAATGCCATGCAAGCCATTCTCATTGACATTCTGCTGATGTAAGTAAGCTGGGGGCCTGGCTGGGACCACAGACTGGAGAATTTTGGCAATCTCACTCGAATAGCCACAGGCATATGTCAATTCTCCTGATGAAGGTTCTTTTCTAATCAGTTTGTTCCCAGTGGGACGTTGCATTGTTTACCCTTGACAGTGATAGTACGATTAGTGGAGTGCCGTCAGTGAAATGATTGAATTAAACATTGATAGCAGGTAATTGCACTGATTCAGAATACAAATCTGTTCAACACTTGACAGCACACCGCCCTTCCACATTAGAAGTGGCATAAGGGCCAACTGCTTTCTGACACACAATACTCTTTCGATCCACTGTGCCACCATGGTAGTGCATCATAAATGCAGCCAGCAGCACCCTTGTCAAAGCATGTGCGCTTCATTGTAAAGCAACGCTTCGCCTTCCCTTGCTGCCAGGATCCAGGGCTGTGGCCCTGGTTTGGCAATCAGCTGAGCCTCCCTCATCGCATCTCCACAGTTCGAACACATTCCCCTGGTTGGGACCTTTGTGGAGGTTGATGTGTTTCAGCGAATTGTGCATGTTGTCAAAGATGGCAAGCCACTGGCCTGCAGCCAGGTCGATTTCAGGCGCTGTTCGCATTTACAAGGGTGTGTGCTCAAAGCTATCCTGCTCATGTTGTCGTTCCTGTGAACAGCAAATGAATTGGAAGACTGCTCATGGACGTTGATGCTCTTGTTTCAGAGACGAACTTCTTGGATTGATGGTATCTTGATTGTTTGTCAAATCTTGGAGGAATATGTCCCAAATGTATCTTGGGTCACGTAATGCCACGTGTGCGATTGCACTGGCATGACGCTGTCCAATTGGGTTCAGGGAATCTGCGTGATGGGGGGAAGGCGTCATGCGACCCAAAATACCCGCAAGTATGTGCTCAAAGCCACATCGCACAGCAAAGGATCCTGCGAAGTGCTGTCTGGTCCTGACCTTGGCCCTAACCCTCCACTGCTTTTGGGCGTTGCTACAGTCTACCGATGCTTGTGGAGCAACTTGTGAGGCCGCCACTGTCGATCCTGACTGCGGGCTACAACACTGTGTGGCTCTACGTCTTCTTCTGCGTTGTCTATGGCATGGTCAGGAACTGCACACCCCATGTGGTCTCCGTACTTGAGGATGCTGACATAGAATTCAAATATCTGCACAGCTTGATTCCTAGTTCCCGCATTGTTCTGCTCAAACAGTTGATTTGGCAGAGCTTCGCTCTGTGTACAAACCATGCTGGCTTTGTTGGGAAGGCTCATGGCAGCAAATGGTCCTCCAGTCAGTGCCGTTTTGCGGATGTGCTTTGTGCATGGCGGTTCAATGTAAATACATCAATAAAGCATAAAAATGTGAATGAAGTTATTCACAGGCTACGAACTGCGGCTGCATCGAAAATAGAAATCCCTGCCATGCAAATCCGCCAGGATAAAATAAGGCATGCTCATCCAGCAGATAGTTTTTAGATGTGCCATCCTGAGGACTCACAATGGCTGATGGATCGGATATCAACATCGCTTCCTTGTGTCAACTATTGCTGAGCACTGTGATTGCATGTAGGAGACGCTGGACTGTTCAATGTATTCGCTTCTGTTCTGGGAACTGGTACAAAATCCGCACTGGTGCCACAAATCCGCAGCGTTCTCCTTCAGTGATGTTCTGCTGCTTGCAAGCCAAAGTATATGGCTTATAAGTTACTCCAATTGTTGGCAGCACAGACGTGACTCTTCGATACATGTCCTCCATACAAGTATGGGATTTCAATGCGGTGATCCCTCATCAACTATCAAGTTTGAATGGCTGCATCCAATTTGAAATCATTGACAATTCAAACGGCCACCAGATGCGTCGTGTGCAAAGTGTTGTTTGTGTAGCTATTGCCGGTTGCATCCACGACGTGCGGATTCTTTTTCTCACCCTCAGCGATACAGCTGATGATTTGCTACAGCAGTAGAAAATGTAATGGCATATTTGATTGAACGGACGTTGGTGACGCTGTTCCTTCATAAACGTGCAGGGTTCCTGCCTCGCTGGTGAGCAACCAAGATTGCCACTTGTGGCTGATGCTGCCGATCAACAAGTGCGATGACAGGTCGGGGGAAAGCAACAGAGCCAGTGCACAGGGATGTAGGGCGCTGGTGGCCTTCTGCAGATCGTTTGCTCCCAGCTTCCCTCCACGGATGCTCAGCGGCGAAGCCATGCTGCGTTTTGCATACCCTAAAGCCAGGTCTTTGTAGGAAGGAGCGGATTGCGCCCTTTTAGGGTGCAGACCATTCTGACTCTAGGCGATAGATAGACACACTCGGATTCCAGTCCTGAAATGGGGAGTTGCTTCAGTTGATTGCAGGCCGGGAGGTCTGGGCGCCTCATATGAACCGAAACCGCATAGTTGCCCTGGCCTGTTGTGCAAGGCCAACAAGTTATGGCTCTGCTCAGTAGGCCGCATCAATTATGCTGACACACCTTCACTGATGATCAACGCTAGCTTCTGAGCCTACGTCTGGACTCTCAGGGTTGCCGATGCCATGCGAGTGCTGCCTGTACCACACCACAGTTGTGAGTTGACCGTCGGCTCCCGTCATCCGTGCATGTGAGTCGATGCAGAATTGTCAACAAATCAAGACATGTCAAACGCGGAGGCAAGCCACAGCAGTCGCCTCCCAAGTTGTGAGCCACCGTAATCTTGAGAGGTAATAGCCAGCAAAGAAGTTCATATCCAGGCGAAACCATGGCTGCGGGGTCTTGTAATTATCACTATTTCTAGCAGTACTTCTACAAGTAACAAGCAGTCCATATCAAGGCAAGGGGGTGGCCAGCAACCACTAGCCACCAGTTCTTGATTCCCCACGGGAAATTAGCAGCCCGTCTGGCGCCTGAGTAGCACCTCACAGGGGCAACTAGTTGATTGGTAAAGCTGGCTATTGTGGATGAGCTGCAGAGCACCACCCAACTATGCATGCGCTGGTGGCTTGTTTCGGCAACCGGGGGATGCCCATGATTGGTGGGTGAAGGACACAGGTGCCTTGTGGCGACACACCAGCCAATTGTCACAGCCTTCGCTGGCCATTCATCCATTCAACTCGGATGATAAGCAAACCAGTGACATTGACAAGAGGCACATGCATATGGCTGCAATGGCTGCAAAACGCCGGTGCTGAATATCGTGCATCATTTTGATACATTGACTGGACCAGTGGAATCGTGGTGAGTATACAGCGCAACAGAAGCACACCTGAGCCTATGCGTGCATCCTTGACATTGATCAACGAACAACAGATTTTGATTGGAGACAACGACAGCGGTAAAACAACGGTAGCAACACAACAGCGAACAGCGAACAGCGGTAACATCATTCCTCTTGATGGCCGCTCAGTCGTTAGAGTCAGGAGAATCGCTGTCGCCAATTCGAGCTATTTGTGAGCCGTACTTGGCTTTCACCGTTTCATCATCATCATCATTCATTCTTACAGGATACAAGGGCAAGGAAGTAGCCGCCACCTTCCTATTTTCCCCGAGCAATAATATATTGTTAAAGGAACCGCACCATCATGCAAAGCACGATGGGCCTGTCCTCTTCGAAGTAAGCCAGAGAAGCGGGCATAGCTAGGCGATTGGAGGGGTCGCCAGCCCACGCGCCGGCGCTCACATGGTCAGGCGACGCGGAGTCCAAGGCGTGGTTCACAGCACAGGTTGCTGCGCCCCCAACAGGCTGGGGTGCGCTTAAAATGATCAGCCACATTCATGCGAATTTCCATCATCTGATACAATGTCCCATTTTCGACCTCTAAGGATTGTCATAATCACAAATGCCCATAAGACAATTCAACCCCGATGCCACCTCTTCACTATGATGCAGCCCACATCTGAAACATGCCATAGCTTCCCTTTCGCTCAGAATTCAAAACAACATGATTCTGACTACTCAGGTGCCACATATGGTCATTTCCAAACGCCCCCACTGCAAAGTGCAAGTACAACAAATCTTGCAAGGCAAAGTGAAAGTAGAGGGCGGTCACAGTGCTGTAAAGCTTCGGGAAATACACATCCGAAACTTCCCCACAACACACCCTTGCATCTTGCGGACAAGACACTATGACCAAGGCATCTCTATGTGAATTGCAGGACATTCTTTCATCAAGCTCATGTTGTCCTCAACAAACATGAGTGTGATCGAAAACTACCTCAAGAACCAAATTCAAAACCAGAATTCACTCACAGAAATGGCCAATCCGACTTTTCATAAAACATGCGCCAATCTTCAAGCAAAGGAGTATGCATAGGCTAGAAGCTCAATGCTGCACCAGGGAAAGAGACATCCTGTGTGCCCCTCCAAGGAAAGTAACATCTTGGTGGGAGTAACCTTTGCAAGTTTCATAGCACCATTTTTCTGCAACCACAGTCTTTTTTTCTTTCAATCTCAAGCAGCGATTCACGTTTTGACATGCACACTAGTCGCAAGCCATCAAGCATAAGTGATCCACCCAGTGAAACGGTGGTCATTATGCGGCGTCGCGAACAATATACTTCTATTACTACCATTATATAATAATATATAGTGTATTATAAACATAATATGCAATAATCAAAAAAGTGTCCATGATCAGTTCACGGAAGTCGTGCACGGTTTTACCGTTTCATCATCAACACCACCAGCTTTGTTACATAACAAGGCAATGAGGTAGCCGTTAGCTTCCTATCTCTACTAACCGTATTTACCCGGTATTCGTAGGCACCCCCCACTAGTATCCACCCCCTTTTGGGGGGTCGAAGCCAAGTTAGCATCCATGACCCGGCGTTAGTATCCAACCCCAAATCTCAACAGAAACGAGCTCGAGAGCGCTCGTTGGATTCGTCTTGGGGAGAGAAAGCTAGTTTGCATGTCGTTTTTGCACAGCATTCTTGTTGCACTTTGAGGTTGTGCAGCAACTGCCAGAAGCTGCTCATCCTGTAGTGCGATGCACGTGATGGCTGCAGGCCTCACAGCTGGAGCAGCTAATCTGATTGGGGATAGTTCTGTTTGCTTGTCGAGCGACTGCAGGCCAGGCGTCTACGGCACTGTTGTGGGCCTAGAGTTGCCAGTAGACCTGGCGGCCTTGCTTGTTTCTGTAACAATGCTCAGCATGGCACTCGCCTATGCGGCAGTCACATTGGATCCCGTGGCACCCGGTTGCACAACAACTATGCAAAATAACAATGCTCAGCATGGCACTCGCCTATGCGGCAGTCACATTGGATCCCGTGGCACCCGGTTGCACAACAACTATTGTAAAGTGCATCCAACCACTTCAACTACGCGTAGCATAACCTCTACTCCACATGCGCACATACCTACCGTGCGCCATGGGGTCTCCTTTGACCTTTCCTGGCCGTTGGGGTAACAAGATGGTTCTTGTCGGTAGCACTGGGCCGCGCCTGGTGTCATGCATGCCACACGACCAGCCGTCACCCTGGCGCTTCTCACAACCACTCTCCACACATTCTACGCCAAGCTTGCCCAAGCTTGCTTTCAGCTTGACCGGAGGCACGCCAACCGGGCCGCACGGTAGGGCCGCCGTCCACCTGAACATGCTGGCATCTCCCGTCAAAATTGTTGATGAATGGGGAAGGTGTTGATGAGGATTTTGACAGCTTTGCATCAGATATGGATTTGGACAACGATTGATAGTGAATGCATGTTCATGCTTCTGTTTGGGATTTCGTGATGGCAACAGCATTGTCGCTGACAATATGGAGTTGTCAATAATGTGGTGTCTGTTGTCCTGTAACTTTGATTTGGTGATGTCGCTACCTATGCATCGCATCTTGCATTATTTCCAACATAATTTTGTGCATTTCAATGGCTATTTTAAAATCTTCTCTTTGCAGTCCTTGGATCAGGGGATCTAAGCCTCGTTAGCATCCACGACCCACTATTATATCCACTGCTCATTTTGAGAGTCCAATACACGCCTACCAATACGGGGTAAATACGGTACGTTTCTCACTCTACGTTTCACGGTTTCACGAAAGGGTTGCAATCTTGACGTCAGCACGGTGCGCGTTTCACCGGAACTTCAATGTGCGCTTGGCGCTTCTGACGCGGAAAACCAGCTACGCTGCCATCTGTGCGCAGCTGTACACCAAACCAGCAGTGCCCCCAAACATAGTTGGAGCCCGGCGTTGTGGCGGAAGTTCGCTTGGAGCCCAGTGTTTCCGCGGGACCCGCCACCATAAATAGCGCCCGGACACCCCGCACTCCGCGCGCGGTGGGCAACGCCAACTGGCCTGCAAGATCAGCACACCGGGCATCCAATCGGCCATCAACGACCTCCTCACGCGCGGCCATGGCTGGCGCTCGCCTGCGCGGCCTGGTTCTGCTGCTGGCGGTGGGGCTCTCTGCGGAGGTTGCCAGCGGCGGCAGAACTCTAACTGGTGGGTGGAATGGCGGGAATTGCATTCGGCGCACGGGGCATGGCGGATCGAAAAGGGTAGGGCTGCGATTGCGAAAGGGCGGCGGCGACAGAGCGGAGCAGAGCGCAAGCGCCGAGCCATGGCCGCGCGGCAGCGCGGAGTGATTGAGCCGTCGCAATGCTTGACCGCGGGCCGGCGCGCAAGAACGCCTCGATCACTGCATCGCGGATCTGTGGCACGCGCAAGGCGCGCCAGTTGGCATGGCTGGAAAAGGGTACACTCGCGAGTCCCACAGGCCTCTGATCGGACAAGCCCCCTCCTCCCTCCCTGGCACGACGACCCGTCTGCCCAGCATCCATTCGCCTCCCAGAGCCAGGGTCCATCTTTGGATTGAATGGACGTAGGCGAAGTTGCAGAAAAGGCATCAGCGAGTGAACTCCCGTCCACTGCCTAGGCACAAAACTCCCAGCGTTTTATTGCGCCGGAACGGACGACCGTGGAAGTGGCGGGAGGCCGGGCCAGGCCCAACACAGGTGTCGGGCGCGAGGCCTCGTCTACTGTGTGATCGGCCCCGGCAACCTGGGATATCGATACGCACTGTGGTCCATCGCGGCAGAGCGACGCTAATGTACTGCCCCCGTTTGTGGCCTGCTGGTTACGGCTTTGTGCACTTCGCTCGGCATTGCCCTCGTCCATATG